TGAAGCCATCAAAATCACCAATGTCCACATGTATAGGTGTTCTAACAATAGACTACGAGACGAACATCCTCAAGATCCTCTGAACGGGTAGGTTCGATAGTCTCGCATGCGCATTACGAAGAATGTCATTAGTCAAAATGTCGCTAGGCAAATTGACCGGGTACCAATTTGTGCAGATGCCATAATGATTGGGCTGCATAATTTCATCCAAGTGAATTCATGTAAATTAAAATAATACATTGAAGGTGTATTTATCGTTAGTCAAAACGAATCAGTGAAATGGATCAAAAGAAATACATGCAAAAACTTCTGTATTCACCTCGAGCATGGGCGATCCTTCCAAGAAGAGTCTGTCAATGGATAAACGAGCTTGTGCTGTCATAGCGCCAGTGATACTCAGATACCAGTATGGACACAGAATCAGTAACATAAATATTGACGTATAACCATTGGACAACCAGTCACAATAGCCATTCAAAAATCCTTCAATCTAAAATGCGTATTGTGACTTTTAGGAAATGCTACTCTGGATGCTATCAACAATTCTGTTGAAGATCAACAGCGAACCAACGAAATCATCTCTTTAGTTCCACTTGAGAAAGGCTGTTTACAGTGATCATATCAGAGAGAATATTATCGTCATGTGTGCTTTATGACTAATGCAAGAACAAACCACGGCGAGTTTCTGATTGCGTTGATTAGCGAGAGCACGATCGTTTGCACTAGTTTTCTCGTTGATAATCTCTCTGGATGCACACAACGTCATAACAGCCGCATATAAAGTGATCGTGTAAAGGAATGCAAATGATATGGATAACGATGTGGCCACACAAAGGATTCGGATCTCATCAATTGGAGTGAATGCACCGATTGCAAATGCTACCACGTTCGTCACCGATGTGATTGTCATCGATGGTCCCACATCTATGAACATCTGAAATGAATCTGTACTTTTCAAACTATCACTTAGTGCAACTTTCATTGCCTGACCGTATAATAGTGCAATCCACATTCCATATACAAAATTCAACAGCACAGTTTCAATCCATCTGTTCAAACGAACAGACAAAATACTATCATAAATTCTTTTAATTGCCTCCTCAACAGCTTAAGCATCATCCAAATGGTTAGTAGAACTGTGATTTTTATGTGATTTCTCAAAAACTGATACTGTTTCTTGCATAAGAAATTTCATTAATGAACAAACATCCACAATGCGCTCTTCGAGTGAAGTTTTAACGGCGAGTTCGTTCTGTCTCCTAGAAATACGAAGCCATGCATTTATCAGCAAGTATGAGTCGTCCACTCCTAAAATTATACTTTTTCAGTCTTTCTTTATTACACATCAACGTGTTCGAAAGCAAAACAAGTTTATATTTCAGCTCATCCGATGGAATCATTGTTCAGTGAGGAATGATATTCATGTTGAATTCGAAATGAATTCAGCAACGTAAAAATTAAACAATTTGAAAATTAGTTGAAACAAACCTATTGCAAGAGTGAGAAATGGTGTCATGCATAGAATTGATGAAAAGCGAACGCCCAAGCAAAAGATGAGACCCAGTGCGGTGGATGTGGCGAGCAATGGACATACACCTGCGGTGATTGCGTATACAATTTTATGGACTGACCACTGCAAGTAGTTCATTCGTTATTCGATTTCAATAGAATTCTTGAAGCCGATTCAATTTAAACTCCTACGGATGAGACTGTGTCAAAGAATACAGTCTAGCTCATCACACAGTACATGCAAACTTATCACCGACTCTAGTAACAAATAAGACAACGACAGATTTAGCAGTCTTTTACGACTGGAAAACATCATACAAATATGTGAACTTTTTGATCAAATTGCAGTAATATCTTTGGGAGTGTGCAAACTGCAGTATAGTCGATGAAAGTCCACTTGAGAGTTACGAAATAATTTAACCTGATTAGTGTAAGTAGCGGAAATGTAAACGGTCACAAGTGAAAATACAGAAATGACGAGGAGACCAATCGCAATGTATGGGAACATCGTTCGGCCAGTACGTGCGATTTCATCTTGAGCGAATACGAACGAATAAACCATTGGTTTTATGTATGGATTGTTGTACTTACTGCAATCAGTGAGAATTTGTGTGGAACAAATGCTTCCAGGAGAGTTGGTTTTGTAAAGCGCATGTACTATCATCACAAATCTGATGAAATTCATTGCGCTAAGAATCATAGGTTATCATATTCAAGTACTCACAACAAATAATGATGTGACACTTTTCGTTCCCATTCCATAACATCATCAACATTCCACTCAGACGGCCGTTGTGCTCTGAACTGCAGCAGGATAAGCTTCAGATCTTTGATGTTCGATGATGCGTTGTTCGTTTGCATCTCATAGTCGTCATATGTGTCAACACCGAATAAATTCGCACTCAAATCCACTTGTCGACCGACGATTCGAGATACTGGATATGATATGTCCAATATGCTGTCAGCTCCTTGATAATTTATCATGTAACCATTCTGAAAGTTCAATTCAGTCTCGATGCAGTCATAATGTAGCGCGCATCTGCAGATTGCATTTCTCGTTGAAGAGATGAAAATACCAATATGGTGTTTCATCGAGTGTGTTTGTAGTCGTTGAAAGATGATGAGAGGATGATGTATTTCATGTTTGTCAAAAGAAAGATTGGTCATTAGTCTAGTTGAAACGGTGAGACGGAAACGCACGGCGGCTAACATAAAACTTGCAGGTGCGCTAAAAACCCGATAGGACAAGAGAATGAATATTTTGCATTTGTTACGCATGAACGCATCAAATTCATGTTCGTCATGAAAATTATTGATGTGTTCTTATCGTGAGGAATTATGCATTATATCATAACCAATTGCAAAAAAACAATAGTGTTGTTATTCGCTTGATGTTGTGAAAAGTTTTTGATTCATGTCTGCAAACGCATGAGAGCATAGGAGCCGGTTTCGGAAAATCGCTTAGGAATCAATTCGGTGAATTTATGATGCGATGAATTGCACTTGAAGTGGGTTACAATCGTTGATTGTTGGCTCTTTTCGATTCGTTTACGTGGCAAACAAACACAAATGAGACTTGTTTTGGCAGAGGGATTGATTCATTTGCATTCGTGAGAAGTTTCAATCTGAGCAACTATATTGCAAACCGAGTGTAAATATGATCGCAAAATGAATGGTCGATGTAAGAAGCGTAGGTATCAATCAAAAAAATTTGCTGAGATGGCGGTAATTCATGCACCAAACTGGGTTGGTTAGTCAAAAGTGAAGTCATTTCTTCTCTTTAAAGTTTTTTTTCCAAGAAATTCGCCAGGAAAACTTCTAAATAAACAACTGAATATGGAAAAGACATACTCGAAACATACGGACTGGTTCGTTGATATCGCACAAACTCTCACAGATACTATCGAATGATTTGTTCTTAACCGCGAACTCACTGCCAACATCATCGATAATGTCAACTGTGGCATTCAAATGCGATAAACGCATCATTGAACCACCGTCTTTGGCGGCAGCCAAAATGAACAGCACTATTGGATAGTGACCGTGATTGAATTTCTGATACGCTTGAACTTCAGTCAACGAGCGAACGCCTTTCAGAGTGTATCCATTCACGAAGTCATCTTTCATCTTTGTCATTGGTACTTGCACAGAGAACACTATCGTGAAAACCATGACAACCTGTTAATTTTAACGGCACATTACCTTTTGAATTCAACAATCATCGAGATATGTTCAAAAGAACCTAGTTTACTCCGACCACAACAGTTAATTATGTTAAAAAGATACAATGATCATACTAAAGTCCATCTTATTACTTTTCAGACACAATAATATATTCCGTAAATAAATGTCGAAATGAGTCTACTAGAAAGTTTAGCAATGAATTCGACTATGATAAATTTCAGGTATGAAATGAGAATGGCAACCATCGAACATGGCTGAATGTCAGGAATATTACTGGAAACCTCAAACAGCTGCAATCAGTTGGTCAGTTCTTAATTGTGAAAATGCTCATTTAGGTTGAATGAATGGACAGACATCTTCACCTCATCAACCGTTTGTGTGCATTTCAGATATGAAAAATTTAAAAGTTTTGCGAATCAGATGAGACGCGAGCGAACGATAACACAGATAGATGATCACTTACGGCGATCACAATTCCAGGATATTTGGCGACCACATGACCAGTCAGTCGGAAGAAGATCGTCAGCAAACGAATGCACAATGTCGGTGAGGGTGTCGTATTTTCAGCGCTACTCATTGTCAGCTTTCTGAATCAGAATAATATGATTTGGCGAGGGAATGAATCGAAGCGCTACTCATCTATTATGCACTCATAAGCATTGTGTAACTGAGAGCATTGGCAAACAAGTTTTGTTAATATGACGATAATGGATATATCACTTGCGCACAATGTCACATTACAATCTGGCATTTCACGATAAGACCTCCAATAAATGAAAAGTGCGAGTGTATTTCAATGAGAAGTATTTCATTTTAAGAGTACAATTTCGGGCGTTCATCAAACTTTACGATTTAAACTATTCTCTGGAGCCTTTCTGTTGGAGCACTTCCGAAATATGGCAAAAATGATTGATCGAGAAGAACAAAACCGATCCATGAATTCAGCTGTAATTTGTGCGCTCTCTTGTGTCACCTGTTAATTCACGCTTGGGCAAACTGGAGGTGCGAATTAGAATCAAATATCAACGCAGTAAAATTACACAATTACGGCACACCACTGCTTTTGAGAATATGCGTTGCGTTCCGTCATGGGACGATGAGTTCAAAAGTTCGAAGCAGGCAGGGTCAATGATTTTGAAGGGTGTAAACACGATCAATATTCGGAACAAATCGCTGCAATGATAACCTATGGAATGTTTAATAAGATATTCCAGCGATTTGGAACAAGATTGCAATCAGTCACCTCTGCATAATGATCAGAACGGAGGAACTCAATCGCTTAGGCGTCCACAACTTTAGTAACGCAATACTCGGACCAATTTAAGTCCAGAAGTCTTGAAATTTTACCGGAAAAAGTCAATATATAATAGCTAATCTGTTTTCTGAGGTTTCTAAACAAAACCACTTCACCTTGCCTAACTCTCGAGTTTTGAAGCTATGNGCTAGCAATCAATTTTTCGAGACAAATCGGACCTCTTCGGATATTCATACAGTGAAGACTGATGCCGAGTTCAGGAACAATATTCAAAGGTACAGAAATTTCAAATATTGGTGACAGCACAAAGAAACATTGAGATTTATTTATGTTGACCTGAATCAACAAGTTTCGTGATCTTCAAGTGAGGGGTTTTCATTGAAAAAGGCACGCACTCATCTCACAGTTATAATCTCGAGATGATGGGGGTTCTTTGGCGGTTTTTGGTTCTTTGGCAGTGATGGTTTAAATAAACAATGTTTCCTCGAATAGGAGAAGCCATAACCTCAAAACTAGCTGTCCTAGTGATCAAACCTAGCGATGACGTAAAATTTAAGAATATAACAACTCTGTTGGTCAGACCTGTCAGTGGCAGCGTTTTTACCTGAGAGTGAATCTTCTGAAATAAGTAAAATTATGATGACCATCTTGGAAAGTAATGTTCATGTTTTTGGAGACTTTATGTTTTTGAGGCAGTTAAGGTGCGCTTTACAGGGATTTAAAAATCAACTTAACTTCACAGAAATATGAGTATACAGAACGGAAAACTGCTGCTATGGCTCGGAGATNTTTACAGGGATTTAAAAATCAACTTAACTTCACAGAAATACGAATATACAGAACGGGAAACTGCTGCTATGGCTCGGAGATGCTCACGATTACGCAAATTCTTACTGTCGTTTACTATAAACCAGGGCATTGGATAGCTAGCGTACGTACAAAAATTCTTCGGTGAGCTATTTCTATCGGACAGCATAGATCATTTTAAAATAATTCGAATTATTTGTTGTCAAAAGGTCATGATTTATGAAAAAAATACAGTTGCGTTGGTTGAAAGCGGTAATACGGCTGAATGATGCGCACAACCATTGCACTAATAATAATGATAATGGACACAATAATTCCACACTTCGTTTATATGCACTGGAGGTAGTTCACATACTAGGAACATCAATAATAATGACAATAATCATAATACTGAAAGTAATAAGGGCGGTATTTATAGTGTTTATGACGGTGCTACTTTGGCATTTGTCTGAATACACATTAACCCGAGAGGAAAATGAATTCTTTAAATAAATGTGATCGTTTTAGAAAAGAACCAATGTGTCTTCAGCGAACAGCTAAATAAGGGCGGTATTTATAGTGTTTATGACGGTGCTACTTTGGCATTTGTCTGAATACACATTAACCCGAGAGGAAAATGAATTCTTTAAATAAATGTGATCGTTTTAGAAAAGAACCAATGTGTCTTCAGCGAACAGCTAGAGACAATCACATTCCATTTCAATTTGTTTGATTCAGAGTTGATTCATTGCTAGCGAATAAATCATATGAGAATATGGTTTATGTTACATGAAAAAGCTTAGCAGGTGTTTTATACCAGCGTTTTCCAGACAACTTCTTTCATGCCAGCGTTCGTCCAGACAACTTCTTGAGGGAGAGTACCAGCAAAGTGGTCCGAGGGTGATGTGGGGGAGAGATCTCAACAGGAAGTCGGGGAAAGAATTGATCAAGGAGGAGAATCCCCGCAGGGAGGAATTCGTCCGAGTATATGTCGCCCAAAAAGCCGGGGAGGAAAATTGCCACAGAATTGGTCCCCGTCGAAGTTCCCGTTCCCCGACAGGAAGCATTTCATACCATTTCAACTCACTGAACATTGTTCAAAAATCACGCAGATCGTTTCAAAGCACAATGCTCAACAGCGTTCAGTGGAAAAAACACATTTTTTAGGTTGCGAAACATTAAAAAAAAACATGAAAGTAGGTGGAATTGCGATGGGGAAATAAATTGCATAATCGCTACTTATTTTAAATTATAAAGAATTATCTCTAACGATATGGAATTATGAAGAATTATCTCTAAGGGTATTCTCGACTATGATAATTTGTTGATATTCTACTTATTCTTCTAGTTATCTCGTTAGATTGATGCTAGAACGTAGTAGTGATCGAATTCGAAAACTACTATGAAACTATCATTGAAATCATTCCCGAGGAGGAGTACTAGCTTGAAAATGAAGTTTTTGAAATAACAAAAATCCTAAGCGAACAATCTTGATCAGTGGCTCCACGAAACCTTCTTCGATGTGCGGTCACCATCCAAAAGAGAGTTGCTATAATGAACGAGTGAAATGCTGGTCTTCAGAACAGGATTGCTATGATGAATAAGTGAAAATGCTCGTTTTCAAAACAGTTCCCCTAACAATTTTTGTCCTTAACATTGACTGTTCGCATTACAAAAACATCATTAGTAGGAGTAGAGGAATAAATTAAAGTATTTCCAGCAAAATTAAAGGCACGGCTCTGTTTCACGGGATCCACTCATTTTTGCACTCACCTTACCTAGCTCTCCAGGTGCTTCTCTGTCAACTTCTAATCAAATCATCATTAAAATTCATTTCTGATGACTGACGATGAGCAATGAATTCATTTCACCTTCTCTTGCTAATTTCCGACCTTTGTCGCTGTCATTTGGATGATCAGAATTTAGTGGAGGAATCCGGACAAGCAAATGCATGAACCTAGGAAATGATCGAGACTGATGAGTCCGCACAAGTGCCCACAAGAAGGGACGAGCCCTCTTTGAATTTCAAGAGGAGCACCGGAAGACGCGTTCATTTGCTAAGACCATTTACAGTAAACAATTTTGTGAAATCAGTAGTATACGTGAAAACAAGTTCTTTTTGTCCATTACACCGTTAATGATAAAATTATCAAATCGAAGTTTCGTCAAGTGATCATTGCCGACATAAAAACTACTTTAAACAAATCACTCGTGCAATAAAAATTTCTTCACGTACAAGTAATGGCAAAGAGTTCCGCCTTCACTGCTTTTTTACGGGANGTATGGGGGAAGAAAATTCAATTTGATGAAAAAAAAAACAAACCTAATATCAAATGTCATAGGCAATATTTGCAGAAACAACAAAATCGTTATTGATTGACTGTTTTTTGCGGAATATTTTGAAGTAATTCTTTAGATGAACGCTCTTGAATTATCTTCAATGATCGCATTGAACATTTCAACGACAACGCATCATAAAACTAATTGAATAATTGAATGCTCAGTTTATTCGGACTAAAAAATGTTTCTCCGAAAATGACAAATCAATTTGACCTCCTCAACTGCCCCAACAGAACGTTGTGCAAGCACTCAGAAATTTACAGAATTGGGTAATCAATCACCTGGATTACCTGCATTGACCGGGCTATTAAACGTTCGTAACGCTGCTGGTCACAATCTATTTCCATTTGGCCCTTGAACTTGCCTTCATTTGCCACTTGTTACCAAATTCCTCTAGAATATCGTCGCTCCATCTTATTGGAGATCTCCCCAGTGATCTTTTTATTTCGCTTGGATACAGTTGCGTAACTGCTCCAGTCTATCGGTCATCGTTGATTCTTGCTACGTGGTCTACCGAACATAGCTTTTTCTTCCGGTACTCAGCGATCACGTCTTTTACTCCACTCATTTGACTGATCTCCCTGCATCGGATGTGCTCCCGCAACCGTATTCCTAATGTGCATACCTGTGTCCCTCTTTGTATCGTTATTGAGCGCTGTTCTTCTCTCTTTGTTGTGACCCGAGTTTCATTGGCCCATAGCAACGCGGGTAAAACGGTGTTATCAAGATTTAACCACTTCCTCTTTCACCACATCCTTTATCGACATCGATTTGAAAGCCATCTATCGAGATCTTATCCTTCTTGCAATTTTCGCTTTCATATCTCGGCTCATACTTACCGTTAGCCCTATGTAGGCAGATTCAACCACTTTTTCGATTTCATCGTCAGAGACTTCTAGTCGATCTGGCACAGTGTTATTTGACTGCATGAAAATACACTGAATTAAAGCAATTTTCCGTTTTTTCAACAGAGGTCCACAGACAAAGGAAACACAAACTGAACGAGATCAAAATACGATGAGGCATTCACGAGCTCTATCCGCAGAGGTGACTGAAAAATCAGTACGAGCATGAGACCGATTCGAAAAAAAAAATTAGCGATAGACTAATGAGTTGAATTCATCAACTCTTACTCATTCCATATTCAATGATTGCGGGATAAACATGAGAAAATACTGTGAATTCAGTTGCAATTG